GAAAATAAGATTTGAAAAATTTATTAACGAAATATAAGTAATCATTATAATTATTTATTACACATAAATAGTTAAATTGCTATTAAATTACTATCAAGCTTTTTATTTATTCGTATATAATTTACAATTATCCTTATTTAATCAATTTTTTATTTTAAATTAATATTTTTAGAGAAATTATATTGTTGTACATGGTCGATATAATAGCATAATTTTAATTTTGAATGCAATATTTTAGTAATATGTTACGTATAATATTTATTTTTAATATATAATTTTAATAATAAAACTATTATTTATTTATATAGATTTTATATATATATGCTAAGAATAATTAAGTGAAATTCGAAAATCATTTTTTTTGTGTCAATAGTATGAGAATCAATGATATTAATATTTTCTTGTTTTTTCTACGCCACAATCTCCATGAACTATATTTACCTATACTTTCATATTAATCAAAAATGCTACACTGTTAAGAATCTTATAGTTTCTACCAACATTACTAATTTCGCTCTTTACTATATTTCACATTCCTGTTTTTTTCTACTTTTGGCAATCTTGTTCAGAAATCTACTTATAAACTCGTTTACATCAAAAAAGTTTTTTCAAATGCGAATGAATATTTGTCGAGATTAAATTAAAAATTAGAATTCTCAATAATTATTCTTAATTTAATTTTTAGATTCGTAACAACAATATCTAATAAAATGTTTTAATTACGTTCGTAGAATATTAAAATTTTATTAAAGTATTTGTTCGCTTAGTTTAAACATACCTTTAGATTATTTTACAATGGGAAATATTGGTGAAAAAGTTCATGCGTTTTCACTACTAGACATTCAAACTTAAATTTTTACCTCTTAACTATATACAAATAGAAAAAATAAATAAAAGAATTTTAACGAATAGAATAGAAAGATTATCTTGTAAAAATAGAAAGATTTTAAAAGCAAGAATAAATAATTCTTAGTTAAATTTCATTTTAAAACACTAGAAATTTTTTGTCTTGTGATACACTTCAATAAATAAGATTTGAAAATAATGATTATATATATATTATATATATATAAAACCATATTTATATATAAAAACTATCATTTATATATATATAAAGTTTAGCATTTTTAGTGTATTTTACGATTACTTTGAAACCATGTATTATTTATAGATTTTTCAATCAATCAAGTCAACAGATGAACATAAATGATGACTATATATTTTAATAGGTTAGTTCAAATTTTATGTTATACAAATGTATAGCATATATTTTTATTATCCTAATAATTTATTACATAAAGTACAAACAATCGATATATAATATAATTGATTATAACTCAATTTAATTTTGACTTAAATTCAACATGAGTTTGATTTAATATTGAATCAATTTTCGTTGATTTTAAATTATAATTCAATTTAAGTTGAAATCATAATTATGAATTCAATTTGATTATTACGATTCAATTTAATTTTATTATATTATCGTATTCTATATTTATTATATTATCCTTCTATTCTTTAAAAGGAAGGTAATTTAAATTTGGCGCGTGATAGTATTTCTATCGTCCAATCGGATGTTATAAAAAGCCAATATGGCGTCAATGTAACCCGTAAAATACGCTAAAAACGCTAAGTTTTACATACGCAAAACTTTTGATTCAATGAATTCCAACAATTGAAATCGATATTTTTGTATTTTACTGGTCAAAATCTATTGGACGATATAAAAAAAGTTTAATAATTTTTAGTGCTCCAAAACGAAGTTTAACCTAAGTTTTTATTAAATAACGTGGAGATGGAAATAGAGAATTGTGAAGGAAATAAACAAAAGTTAGATAGTCCAGGAGATACATCGGAATATTCTACACCAACAACAACTCAGTTAATGACTTATAAGCCTGTGAAAGTAAATTTGAAAAGATCATTGTGAGTATTAATCATTGATTTGTCAAAACTTATATCAGTAGTTTCTTGCTATACCTCTATGAATGTTATTTCAGTTCTTCGAAAATGTTAACAGAGAAAAATGATATTAAAAAAGAAGAAAATGATGCAAATACAAATAATGAAACAAATGTTCCAAACAAGGTTTGATAATATATTTCTTTCTTAAACAAATTAATTAATAATATATATAATTTATCAAATATTTTAGAAATATTATAATAGTTAGAATATAAACAACACATAATTTGAATTAATTTAAAAATTGTATTTCATAGGAAAATCATGATACTAGTGAACAAGATTTAAAATGTATTCCAAGAAAACGTCGATGGGGTACTACATTGTCTACAGATACTACACCTTCGTTTTCAATTTCAACAGATTCACTTAAAGTAATAATTCCATTTCTAATAATATACATTTATGTTATTAATTATAATAATATTATAATAATAATAATACATTTGTACTTTTTAGAAGAATATTTTCTTGATTTTTATTCATTATTAATTACTATACTCAATATATTTTATAATTTTAAAGATTTCAAAAATTATCATATAATTATAATATATAATATAAATATGTAATATGTAATATATATTAGGTATTACTTTATTTATAAAGTTTTATTCTATATAATAGGCATTAGTGCCAGGAGCAAGACCATTGTCGATAAATGAAGTTCGTCTTTCAAAAGATGATGATGAAGATAGAGATCATTATCAGATTAGTGAAAAATGGCACAATTCTAATGAGGGAATAAATGATAATAAATCTGGTGATGAAAATGTACAAAAAAATGGTACAGCAAAAAAAGGAGAAGCAAAAATAGATAATCATATAGGTATGTAAATATTTTCAATAATCTATTTTATGTAAATTATTTTAAGATCATTGTCAAGTTTTATTTTTCAAAAGATTAATCAAAACAATTTGATTTTTTGTTCTAAATAGCAAGAGAATATTTTGCTTTTAATGTTTTAAATATTTGAAAGATATAAAAAATCTTTGTTTTTATAATATAGAATATTTTATTGAATATAATATTTTTGATTAAAAATTTTTATATTTTTATTAAATTGTTCTGATTTTTAGCGGCAAGACGAAAAATATCTATTGTTAAAGAAGTGCCACATATAAAATCTCCGAGTCCACCTGCTACAAAACCTACAAATATACTTTTGATCAAAAACTTGGTTCGTCCTTTCACTTTAAATCAAATTAAAGAGTTACTTTCACGTACTGGCACAATTGTTGAAAATGGATTCTGGATGGATAGAATTAAATCTAAATGTTTTGTAGAGGTATCAAAATTATTTTTAAATAATATATTCATTTAATATATTATATTATAAATATATTATAAATTAAAACAATGGTATATAAAGGATAATATTAATTGAATTGTCACAGTATGCAAATGAGGATCAGGCATTTGAGACAAGACAAGCATTACATGGTATATCCTGGCCTGTTTCAAATCCAAAAAGGCTTCATGTTGAATATGCAACCAAAGATGATATGGAATTGGCGCGAGAATTGTCAAAGGATCAATCTATTCCAAGAAAAACAGAACCTCTTGTACCATCCGATTCATGGCAACAAGATTGGAACCGTGAAGAAAGGACAAATACAAAGGTTATTTTTATAATATTATAACTGAACATATGTAATATATATTAAACATGTAAAGAATTTAAAGAAAAAATGTAAAAGTTCAAAAAAGATTTTTTCTTTAAAAAAATAATAATTCTAATAATATAATAACTAAATGAGAATTTTGATAATAGGTAATGGTAGTCCGAGAATGGGATCTAGGTAAAGAAGATGGCCAGCAGCACATAAAAGAAAAAGAACGTGAAAAAAAAGAACATGACAAAAAAAGACGGCAGAGGAGTCGGAGTCCAGCGGTGGAAGCACATTTGCCAGCTCCAGCCCGTAAATTCAAAAAGAAGAGGATGAGCCACCACCAGCTAAACTTTTAGATGATCTCTTTAGGAAGACAAAAGCAACGCCATGCATATATTGGTTACCACTCATAAATGAACAGGTACATTAAAAATATATCAAATATATTTCATATTTATAAGTAGGAGAACAAATGTATATTAATTTTTTTTTTAATATTTGAAAAATATATTTATTTTTGCATTTCAGATTATTATTGAATTTTATTATAACTATTTTTATTTTTTAATTAAATATTAATTCGTCTAATTATAGTAAATTATATTTTTATTAATTTTTATATCTTATAAAGTATTAAATATCATTCTTATTTTTTGATCTAGTGATAAAATAAAAAGACAAAAAAATATTATTATAAAAAAAAATAATATTGAAACCAAAGAAAAATGAAGAGAACCCATGGGATTTAAACATATGACTTTTGATTAAAAAGTCAGTACATATATCTTTCACTAAGGCGTTTTTTTAATTCTTTAATGTTATTACTTCTTTTCATTAGATACAGAGATCTCATAATTTTTTAATAATAATTAAAGTGTATTTATACTTATAAATATAAAGTATCTTATTTTATATCTTGTGAAAACAATTTAAAATGACTTTATTTATTATAATTTTTCTTAAGTTTTATTCTTAAATATATATACAATATATATATATATACAGTATATATATATCTTTATATTTTTAAATTCTTCAAAATTTTTTTATTTTTGTTTATTTTAAGAATATTTTATTTTAGATTTATTAAATTATTTTTTCATTATTTTATCCGTTAAATATATGTTATTATTATTATAATTTATTATAATTTATTAAGGTACTTATACAAATATTTTAAATTACAGATAGTTGTGAAAGAAGAAATGAGAAGGCAACATATGGCAGAACATGCGCGCAGATTAGAAGAAATGAGACGCGCAGAGAGAAACAACAGAAACAGTCGTCGCCGTCGTAGTCCGAGAAAATAGTTCTCTGATCTACCACTTTCGATAAACGTACCTTTCCCTTTCTGATGCAAAAATTCCGATTTTGATCAGTTACATTTTTAAAAACGATGTTATGAATCACGGAAAGACAAATGAATTTTTTCTTTTTACATTAGACAGACTTGCCGAACATACTCTTTAAATTTTACTTTCTCAATCGTTCCACGATTTGCAGGCTGTTTTACGATTTAACATATGGTGTTAGAATTTGCGTTTTTATTCTTCAATTTTTTTCTTTTTTTTTTTTTTTAATTTTCAGAAAACTTTTGTTTCTGTATCGACTTCGCGTATTAGTTTCTCTGTTTGATTTCATTCGTTCAATCGCTGATTTTTGTTCATTGGTCAGAAACTGTACAAATTTGTTGCATGATCAGGAAACGTCCCGATCTCCGATCCATCGTCCCTGAAATTTCAGCATTAAGGGGGTATTCTGGTAATCCGGCCAAAAAGATAAGCAATATTCAGGATTTTTTTTCTCGGTAAATAAATGATAGCTTTGTAAAACTTTTATACTATATTAATGCTTACTTAACTTTTTTTTATTTATATATAATTTATATATAGTTTTTTTACATAAAATAATGTGCAATAACATCTCTAAGAAAATCTTATTGGCGGAATAGAAAAATTAACTGAAACAAAAATTTTTTACATATTTTCTAATTAATTTCTATGGCTTTAATCGATAGCACTTATGCCAAAAGTGACTAATTCTTAAATACGAAAGATTATTTTTTAATTACAATTTCTATCTGCAAAAAAAGTATGTAATATTCAATTTAATTAATTAAATATATATATATATATATATACATTAATTAAGTATATCGACAATAGTCAATGATTTGTAAAATAATTTTAAAAAATTTCAAACTAATTGATTTATATAATCTTTTTTATTTTTATTCCGCCAATAAGAAAAAAGTCGTTTCGAGAAAAATTAAAAAGTTTTCTATACTGACTTTTTTAAATTTAATAAATATAAATTTATATTCAATCGGCAATTCTGGCTCTATAAAATGCCTTTAGCTACTTCATACTCTTTATCTTCAGTTGATCTAACATTTCTATCGACTTGGCTTGTTTTGAAGTTAGTATTCTCGCGTTCTGATTTTGCAGATTCACGTTTCGTTCTACTTCTCCGTGACTGACATGGCATCTGGCTCGATAATCATGTTCATCCTTTGCATTATTTTTAGAAGTTTAACTCTTCCATTAATGTGCAAGCAGCACATTACATGGCAATTTTTATTAAGACTTTTTTTCAGAAAAAATATATTTGGGAAGCGTTACATGCAAGAGTTAAAACTTTTATTGTTCTTTTGCGTGTTCGTCTCCAAACATTTTTCTATAATCATCTATATGAAATCATTATACATGGGCTTCGAAGTATCACGAATCTTATCATCAATAACAAATGGATGTTTATAATCTTCCAATGTTTTAGCTGCTTCAGCCTTGTGCCATTTACATCAAGATTCAGGTCCTTCTGCGCAATAGGAATGCTGAGGATTTTCGACAGTCGAAATTTTACGATAGTAAGTCGTTCATACTGCTTTCCTCATCTCTTCGATTGAATTTGAGTGTCGATATAGCCAAGCTAGTAATAAAAAATTCCTCTATCAATTTATTTGTCAACTATATTTTTTCGCCATTGTACTTTTCCTCTTTTTCTTTGATTTATTCGTCCTTGATTTGCAGTTGTTTTTGTGTCTTTTTCAACTGAGTAAGTTGTTTTTAATATTCGCGCATTTCTTCATATATAAAATGCACTCTTTCTTCTTATTAATGAAGTCATCTTCTTAAGATTTCGCATCTAATCCTCCAATGAAACAATCATATATTTTTCGTCATATTTTTTGATAGATCTTTCAAAACTTTTAAAATACCGTCTATTTTCATCGTATCTTCGTGGTTGGCGTCGCACATTGCATGATTTCGTGTCATGCATTGTTTTAATATGCGTCGCTCATACTATACGAGGGAAATCTATGTTCAATGTTGAAATAATATTTATATTTGAAAATTTCATTATATTTCGAAGATAAGAGAAATATTTGGAAGGTATAAAGTAATATTATAGAATCAATTAGAGATAAAACTAGGTATTATTAAATAGACCGAAACGAGCCGCTCGACCGCTAGTGTTCATGCGGCGCGCTTCGGCTTGTTCGTTACAAAAAATTATATTAGTCTAAATTATTTTGAATTTTGCTATCAAATTTTCAGATAACATTTTTAAAGATACATACTTTCGAAAAATGTATAAAAAAAATTGATTTTTTGAAACCGGATTACCAGAATATCCCCTTAAACCATACTTCTTACAGGTCGACATTGACTATCCAACAGTGCGGCGTAACTGTAGAACAAACGATAGTGTTTGCATCGTGTAGGAGTGATGCATCACGTTCTACGATACGTCGTAGTGCGATATCGCAAAACGTGCCCTGGGAATTGGAGGATAATCAAACGAAAAACTGTCCACATAGGGAAAAAAACTTGAAACTTAATATTCATGATCATTGAAAATGTTTTCTTACAAGAAGACAAAATAAAATAAAAACAAACAAAAATGAAATGAAATGAAAGTTGAACGAATTGTTAGAAGCAGCAACAAACAAAAAACCCGAAATGATGATGGCGAGAGACTGTGGTATTGACTGATACGAAGTTATCTTAAAGCATCAATGAGAGTATTTTCTCTCCCTGGAGTTATTTCTTTTCTTTGTCGGTAGAATAGCCTGACTTCCTTGAATTCTGACATATACTACCATAAATTTGGTAGTAAAATGTAAAGTTTTGGTGTTTCTCGTTTTCGCGCAATAAATTTGCACAACCAGAAACACATTTGTATATATAAAATATAATTCAATATACCGTGATATGACATGTAAAATTATCAATAAATGTAAAACACTATAGGTTATATATAAAAAATACATTTGCCGCTTACTTTATACAATGTCACACCATATTTAGAAGATTTGTCATTCATCCTTGAAATAAGATCGAAAGATTTACGAAAAAAATACACTTTTAAAACAGAAAATAAATTTATTCGTTATATTTATTTTATTATTTGTATTCGAATTCGTGCGATTCGAATGAATGTATTTTACTAACATATAATCGGAAAGAAAACCATTTCACAAGGAAAGGAATTATATAACAAAATAACTCAAGCATGTGACAATTAATGTTTCATTACAACCAGGAAACGATTGTTTACGTAAACTTATTCGATCTTTATTTATATTAACATCGTTAACGCTAACATTGTAATTGCTTCAATTTACAAAAATCGTGAATTACAAGATGTGTGCATGTCAGCTATTAATTAAAACATCTCACAATCATAAATATTATAAATAGGAAAAATAAAACTGAACTGAAAATTTCAAGTTTAATGTTTAACTTAACTACCAGTTTGTACACTATTATGTCCTTTCTGCAATTAAACTAATCTTAACAATGTTATGTTCAAGAAACACTTCTTTCGTATTTAAAAAAAAAACATAATTATACAATAATATACATCTTTTATTATTTTCATTTATTTTATATTATTTCATAAAAAAGATCAAGAATTGAAACGATTATAAAGAACTGTAATATTTGTTTTGATTATAATTCCAAATTTATTTTTAAATCGTATTGATCCTACAACTAATATATATTTTAATATGACTTATTATTGTACATATATGTATAAGTATTTTTTATATAAAACTAAAAAAGCAAATGCTAAAATAATTCAACATATAATATTAGAAATATTTTAATTTTTGAATTTAAATAATAAATATTTAAAATTTTTTTCTTGAATCAATTTAAAAAATTGAAAAAAGAAACTTTTCAGATTTATATTTATAAAGTAATTAGATTATTTAAATGGGAATAAAATTGTAATAAGTTACTATAGAAAAATAGTTTGAAATAGTTAATTAATATAGTTAGATAGTTCAATATATGAATCATTAATAGAATAATTAGAATCAATACATGAATCATCAATAGGATAATAATCAATATTTTAAGAATCAATATTTTCATTAATTTTTATTCTTTATAATGGTATTCTGAAATTATTTTAAGAAATTCGAAATTAACAATAATTTTCAATCTCTAAAAAAAATTTCTTTCTTAATTTATAAATATTTTGCCTAAAAATTCATATTTAACAATAAAATTTTAATGAAATGAAATTTATCTTTTGCAGTCGCATTTGCATCACAATTAATTAATTTAAAATATATAATTTGAATGTATATATGCGATTATATTAATTTTGCAATACATTCAATTTAAAAAATAAAGTTTGAATATAGGATTATAAAGGATTCGATCTTATAAATATAATAAAAAATGTGTGTATACATTACAATTCAAATTTATAATCCAAAAAATTTGAACGATAATACTTGAAAATTATAAAAAAAAAAATATTTTTTTTACAATGTTGATCTTTAATTTATTATTGTAAACAAATGAATTTAACGATAATATATTATATTTGGATTTTATAATTTATTTGTAAAACGTATACACGTATTTTTATAGTTTTGATACGTTTATCTCGTTATCAAAAGGATGCATATTAAGTTAATGATGAACGCATTAATTTAATTCCTATATTGAAAAATTTTTGATATTTTATGTTTCGATTTTCAAATAATAAAATAAATAATCTAATTAAAACCCTTTTTATGTACAATATTCGTTAAATATTATCATTATACTGAGTTTATTTCATATTTGCTAGCAACATATATAAATAATAAATAGTATTTGAAATATTTAATCAAAATATCATTGATTTAAAAAATAAATTGAAAATAAAACATTTGTATATAAAAAGGGCTTAATACAAATATATTAAAATTTTTTTCAAAATTGATATCAATTATTCATTTTGCTTATTATTTACTCATACCACATTTATTTTATTTCGATGGGCATCATTTAATACATTAGTCGACTTTCACGACACTGTAGATTTTTCGTACAAACCAGAAACAGGCAAAGAAACCAATTGATCCTATTAAATATATAAATATATAATATAAAATAATAGTTTATTTTTTATAAAACATCATAATTTTATTAATAAAGAAGAAATACATCTTACCCGTCAAAACGAAAAATAAATAAACCATAATACAAGTATAACCGAAGTAGAGAAATGTAGATGTAGCATCTTCTATTTCCAATTTAGTCATGAAAAAATGTATACAGTAAACTAATAAATAAAATGCAGTAAATCCAGATGTTAGGAAACTACGCCACCACCAATGATAATCCTATAAAAAATATAATTTAAATATTTTTAATAATTATATCTATTTTATTAAAAATATTATTTATTTACCTCTGCGCAAAGATGAAAATAGCAAAGTAAAATTGTTGTTTCTGAACACGTAATTACAAGTATAACAAATACCAAAAAGAGAAATCCAAACATGTAATATACCTGACTTGCCCTGAAAAAATAAGCTAAAATTTAGAATAAAAATGTTAAAAATAAAAAATTCTCTTTTATTTATACATATTAAATTAGTAATAATTGAGAATAATTTAAATTAATAATATTTGTGATTGCAAAAACTACTACAATATATTTTAATAATACTTACCACAAAGAATTAAGAATAAAGAATAATTGTATAAATATACATCCAAAAGGTAGAACTCCACCCATTATTACCCCAGGTATTGGTTGAGTATAAAAACTTTGCTCTGGTATTTGTCTAGGAATTTGGTTAGTTCTTACAGGATGCTCTAAAGACTGAAATAAAATTATTAATTTTTCTATGAAATATATTTTTATTATATATAAAACAGTTATATAATATATAAACAAGATGGAAAATATTTTGAAAAAAGAAGAAAGATTTTACATTTCCTTTTTTTAATAAAGAAAGATTTTGTAAAAAAAAATTACCCTTTTTCTAAATCCAAAATAAGCACCAATAAATGTTAATGGAAGAGATACTCCAAACCAAAGTGCTAGAAGGGCAATAAGAGTACTAAATGGTACTGCAGCTGAACTTTCATTTGCCCAAAATATTAAATTCATTATGAAGAATAAACTGAATACAATTCTGTAAATAATTCAATAAAATTAAATATTTTTTTACATGACAAAAAGTATTATATGAATTTGTATATAATTTATGTTAATATTCATTCTATATATATATATAGAATATTCTGTGTATGTGTGTCTTAAAAATGTTGGAACATTCATAAACTAGAAATTCTTGATAATTTCAAACAACATTTTCTTTTGCAAAAACCTTCATTACTTATTACTTTGTTAACGAGTTATTAACAAAAAATAATCACGGACCTACCGTTGACTATGTTATATAATTATAACAATGAATAAATAAATAAATAAATAAATAATATTCAACATATTTTTTTTTAAATATATTGTTTGAATCTGTTCATGATCGGTCGGCGGCACATAGCTAACGCTATTGTCGCAACTCGACTAAATTATGTGCTTTATGATTAGTTAATGTGTTATAACTTGTTAACAAAGTTATAAACTTTTGCAAAGAAAAATGTTGCTTAAAATTACTTTCAATTTACAGATGTTTCAATTTTTTATTTTCTATATCATTTTCAATGTGCAAGAAATTATTATATTTATAGTCAAAATAATATTGGCTGAAAAGATGTTATTATTATATTTATATTTTATTATTAACTTTGGTTCCTGACATTTTCATTATCTCGAAAATGTACAATATTGAAAATTAATTAATTATTAATATTCCAATTCATTCATATTTATTCAAAAAATTTTTGTAAATTCTTTTAAAGCTAAAGCTCACATTTTAAAGCTAAAATCTTAAATAATTTTTTCGTATAAATTTTAACAAAAAATTAATTATTTATTAATAATTATTGTGTAGAGTATTGCAAATTCCCGATAAACAATTAATGTAATAAACAATTAATTTATTTAATTATAATTAAAATTATAAGTAAAAATTATATATAAATGTAAAAAAAAAAAAAAAGTTTGAGATATATTCATATTTAAAAATAAATCTCATAATAATATGAAATTTGTAAAAAACATATTATTTTAGATATAATGCATTAATCATTAATAAATAATAACTATTGGAAAATACTCTTCAGTAAAATTTAAATAACAAAATTACTCAGAGAATTTTCTAGCTTTAAGATCTAAAAATATAGAATTTTTTAATAGAAAAATATTAATTAATTAATTTTCATAATAATTAAGAATTGCAATCAAAATTAGTAGCAGATATCTTTTTTATCATCATACAATGTTTCTTTATCATTTATAAATTAATAAGTCAGAGTTCCTATCACTTGCAAGATGGCATTATTTAATTTATATTTATATATTACATTATATCAAATTCTATATATATTTTTGTATTTTTTATATGTGAAATATATGCGTATTTTATATACATTTTTTTTTATTATGTATATATTTCATTTTTATTTTTGGATTTTTTTTATGTTACGATATTTCGAAAATCAGAGAAAATTTTCATATGTCACTTATTTTTTAATCATATTCTAATACAAAATTGCAAATTTGAATAAGAATTTTTACGAAAATATTTACAAAAATTTCTATTTTATATTAGGAAAATATAATTCAAGAAAAGGTGACATGTAAAACTTTTATATTTTCAAGAAAAATTTTTTACGAGACATATATTTACAATTGTAGTGTTAGATGCAAGAAGATCTTCAGTAATAATTATCAGTTTCTATATTTTTAAAAAAATTTCGCCAACATTCAGTTTTAAAAATACAAAAAATTTATATATATATAAAAAATATAGAATTTTATAAACATTTTACTCAAAAAAAACTTAATCATTTTGAGATTTTTCTTATATCCAACAATATTAATAGTACAAGCTGTGATTAATTTTAATAATAATTTTATAATTTTATGAAATAATATTTACTATGTATCAATTTTTATTAAATAAGATAAAAGTAAAGTGTTACCCAGGACTCAGCATAGATGTCAATACTACATTTGATT